AAAGACTACTTTAAAAAAAAAATCATTGTGACACACTTCTCATCATTAACTCGTGGAGAAAGAAAAATCCCAGGTATCTCAAATTCACTACAGAAGATCACGTTTGCCTGATGCTTGAAAGTTCTCAGATGATGTTTGGGCTTATAAATGAAACATCTTCAGTGTGCCATTAGAGCTACACAAGCCTAAGTATTTGAAACAGTCCAATCAAGCAGCAATTCTTGCATTCATGCATTCAAAATGAAAACACACACTGCCTAGACTGCAGTTTCACTGGTAGTTAGCCTACTTAATGGTTCACTGCCTAAAGAGGAAGATCTCATCCTCTCCATTCACATCTCTTACTGTTCCCTTTTTCCACCATTCTTCCTTCTTGATACCTTCCTACTCTCCTATCTGTTTTCTGACAGCCACACCAGCCATTATCACACCTTGCAGTGAATCAATTCTTCTCACTCGTATGACAGAAGGCTATGATTGCTTTGCTGTTTGGTTTCTGCTGGTTTGGAGAATGAAAAGACTCCACAGAAGAACCAAACAAGTACCTGAACCCGCAAAAGGCAAAAAGAAAAATACATTCTAGGAGTGTAGGTATGGGGAAGATGAGAGCAGGTAACTCCACTTTACAATGTTCGGACACTAACCATTTTGTTTACTGCTTCTCTTGACACCACCACACAAACATGAAAACAGGTACATCCAGAACAAAGCTGTTTTGAAAACTGCAATGGAAGTAATTTTGTTTGCTTTCCAATACAGCAGTGATACCTCATATGTAAGGAAAGTGATACTTCATGGGATTTCAACAGTTTTGAGACTGATGTAGGATATAGCACTGTATTCTAATACAGTAGAGAGCTGATCATACAGTGTCTTAATGTGCATTTATGTCAAGCATTTACATAAATCCTTCTCTCATGGATTTCTTCACTGTAAAATCCCTGGCTGTGAGTATAGGAATATATGGATCTTTGGATTGCCTTCCATCCAGTGGTCCTCACTTACTAGCACGAGAGCTATATTCCTATATTTCTATTATATGTTAAAGTGAAAAAAAGAAAATTAGATAAAAGAAATTCTACATAGACAAGTCTTAAACTCTAAGGAGGGTTTTTTGTTGTGCTTGTCAAACATTTTGTAATTCAACACAAATCAATTATGCCAATTATATGTAGAAAAAGTGGTTGAGTTTTTGATTTTTTTTTCCCTGGGTTAGTTTTCTATTGAGAAAAAGCCAATCTATGACAAACAACTTCCTGGAGAAGACTGGGAAGGTCTTCCTTTGCTGCAGCTGTGCCAGCACAGGTTAATGGCACCATGAGGAGTACAGATCTGTTCCGAGTTCCCCAGTCTTTGATTCAGCATGTGAACTATATGGAGACTAGATCAAATTGCAGTCTGGATCCTGGACTCTGACCGAGCAAAATCCTTGGAGGAGGTTGTGAAATAAAGGAGAAGCCATGTAAAATATCTCTGAAAGCCAGGTAAGTCTGGTTTTCACATGACAGACACCTGATTTTAGAACTCGAACAGAGTGCAATTTTGCTTATGCTTCCAGTATATTTGTGAATATTACTACCTCAAGAATAAAAACCATAAACAAGACAAAGTTAAAATCTCATAACATGAATACAAAACAAATACTAGGATAGAAGAACCACTGGGTACATAAAAGAGTGTCCTTTCTTTCTCAGGGGCATTGTACTTGAAAACAGCTACGTTAAATGCTAATGTCAAAGTTCCTGTGCTCACACTTTTTCTGGGAAAAACATCACGACTTTGAGCTTCTTCAGTATGAAATTACAAAGCAACTACTACATAAGTTATCAGCCTGAAAGACAAGTAAATTCATATATTTCAAAATGTTTTTTTTTAAAAACACATAAACTCCACTTTTTTAGATCAGCTTCCAGAACGTGTTTCTCATTTCCAAGCTGAAATGTTCCTCATCTCTCAAGTGAAAAATGAGTATGTAGTTTGATTCTTTAACAAAATTCTGTACACTTCAGAAGAAACCATTAATTTCAGTTTTGTGTTCTAAAAGAGCACTAAAATAACACTCTTTTGCTTCAGAATAATTCCAGTTCTTTTTTTTTTTTAAACTAATTGCATTTCCATGTATTTTCAGAATACCACCACTTAGCAGTAAGGCTAAGTTAAGTTTCAAAGACATCCTAGTTTTTCATATAAGATAATGCATACCTGAAAGATAATTATTTAATCATCTACAAAAACTTGATTACTTGACTTAAAAGAAAATCTCTGTACAATTAGCAAACAAAGGGGAAATTTGAAGAGGTTCAACCAGCTTTCTGGGCAGGCAGCAATACTCACTATGCTACTGCTGAAATTATGGTCATCCAGAGAGTTATAAAAGTTATCTTGTTTTCTTTTCTAGTTTGTAACTGACATACCCACACAAAAATGATCATTCCATGTCTAGTGGAAGAAATGTAATTAAAAGAGTTGATTAGCCAACTGACTGCTAGATAGGCAACAAAAACAAAAACCCACTCCATAACAAAAGGATTTCAGACAATTTAATTCCTCCAGCAGATTTTGAGAGATTTATTAGTGCCCACTGGAGTGGAACCAAAGTCCAAAAAAACAGCAAAAGATCTGTAAACATCTGTTCAGATCCTTAATCATGCTCCAATGCCTGAAGTACTACAGCCACTACGCCGCTAACAGGGTAACATTTGAACTGACACACCAATGCCAGGTTATAGTGAGGTGACAGGAGTTTTTACTTCAGACTCAGCTCCTCTGTCAGGCTCCCTTCACAAGCACACACAAATCAGAGATTCCACTGCACTGCAATACGAACAGAAGTTTAGTCTGCCCATAGAAACAGACTGGTACAGTTTCCTTCTTCTCCCTCAGCATTCATAAGCAGTCAAAATTCTAGCGATTCCCTGTCTCTTCCTGCCCTTTTAACATCTCCAGCTTCAATTGCAAAAGATCAGTTTATTTAAAAGAAAAGTTTCCATTTCTAAACTACCTATATTAAAGATGTCTACATTTCCTCTCCTTGAAAATGTTTATATAATCTTTACAATTTTAGATTAAATTCAAAATTGAAGTACATTGCAAAGCTTAATGGGAAGATCTTGAATCACTTTTTACAAACTTAACATCAGGAGGGATGACACATTTAAAAACAAAACAAAACATCCCTAAAATAGATGTGTTAAAAAGCAGGCTATAAATTTTGTCCCTATCAGCAAAAATATATTTAAAGTTCTCTTCAGTTCTGGTAAACCCAAGTTTAAAAAAATAAAAAAGGGATCTCTAAAAGCAACATAATAAGCAGCCCGAAACAACGACCATATTAGGAAATACTGAAAGAATTATGATTAGCTCTGAATTAAAGAAGGAAACTAAAGGATATAACGGCAGGAATATGTAAAATAATGATTGTCACAGAGGTATTTTTCATAACACATTGCTCCCTCTCATACCACAAAAAAAGGACCACTGGCCAATGAAACTGGAAGAAGATTTAAAAATTTTATATATAATGTGTAATTAGCTCATAAACTGCAAGGAATCACCGTACTGAAAGACTGAAAAAAGACTATATGCTTATGTAGGAGCTAACAAGATCACCGGCAACTTCACTGTGAAAGATTAAAATGCACATCACCTTTACAATCACCTTTCAAAGTTCACACCAGACCAACTGATTATGGTCTAGGAAGAACACTCCTATGGGTTGGATGTTCCTTAGCAACCTGCTGCATGACTTTTTTTTGTGCAGTTGATTTTTGTTTTCCTCATTAATAGCAATCTGCTCTTTCTGCTGCTGATTGCTTTTATGCACAACATGTCAGATTAAATGCACCATTTCCATTCCTGGCCTTCCATCAAAATTCTTCAAACTGTGGAAGTTTTAGCTTATTCTTAACCATGATTGCCAGAGGGATTTTTTCAATACATGTATTTTATTTATTTTTTGTGCAGGCATGAAAACAGAGATCTTATTTTTAGTTCTGGTAAATGAAAAAAATTAGCGATCAGAACATTCCATTCCTCCTGCAATTAAATTATGAAAACAGAACTAAAGTGTAACTCTCAGATCATGTGTTATTGCAGCACTACTTCATTTCCATGCTGAAAGCCCAGAACAGTTTGAAAACTTTGGATAGCCTGTTTTCACTCTACCATGAGCACATTAAAATCTCGAACTCTTTACAGACACTGCTTGATTTCCTTCATCTCTGGTTTATGTATTTCAAAGAATAAAAAACATTTTTGGTGCAAAACAGTACTATCATGAGTTCCAATATTTCAATCAAACCACATTTTCCTAATGGAATAAGAAGCCCCACAAACAAATTTTTAAACTATGTGATTTCAACAAATGTCAGAAATGTACTTAAAAACCATTTGTGCCAAGTTTTGAAGTTATTAAAAATGGAGAGTTGCACTCTCTTTCTCATTTTGTGTGGCAATTGCATTTATTGTTAGGCTTTTAAGGAAAGCCTTATTTAAACTAAATTATAAAGGAACTCCCATGCAGACTCTAAAGGGATCTATAGAGCAGCTACAATGGAGATTGTATACTCATATACATACTGTTGATCTTCATGTACATTTATCCTGCAGCATAATGTTAAAATAAGTCAAAACTGAAGAGATTTGGAAAAAAATTACAAAATCAAAATTATAAAAATCAAGAGTTTCAATATGTTGTCAATCACTTTCTAACAGTGTTCAATAATAAGTTTCAAATAGTTAAAGATAAGGTATTTTATGTTCTTACATTTACTAAGTTAGAGTATAAAATGCTTTCTGCTTAATACATTTTGATTAAATAATTTTACAATATGCAAATAAATACATTATGGGCACCTTTACTATTTCAATCAAAATGTTACTACTTTATTAATAAGAGACCTCATGATTACAGAACCCACAGTTGCTACAAATGATGTCCAGTTAAATCCCAAATACAAAGCCTAAAAAAAAAAAAAAAAGCAAACACAATCAAATCTTACCCATTCTTGAAATATAAAACATGTGCTCTTTGCAGTCCTGTTTCCATGAAAAAACCAAGCTCTTGTTCATGTGCAGTGGGCCCTGGCTTAGGGCTTCTGTTTTGTATATTGGCATTAATTACCTAATAGAACAAAAGAAAAAGGGAAAAAACGTATTTAGAAAACAAAAAAAAACAAACCAAACCAAACAAAAAAAAATTAAGCTTTGTGTAGTTTTACACAGAAGTCAATACTTAATGTTGGAGAAATCTTTGCCATCTGTAGGTGGTGGTTAGTGGACTATTTCTATCCTTACCTCCACTGCCACCCTTTTCACTCCTGGATATACCCTTAAAGGCAATTTATTCACCAAGCACAAATACTGCTAAGCAAAATTTTATTACAGTTTTTCAGAAATTTTTGTGAAGAATGGTACACAAAAGAGAAGAATATAAAAAAGCATATTTGTACTCTTATTCACTTAGCAGGAGGTGATGGTACCAAAAATCTAAAACTCCTGTTAAGTTAAAAAAGACTGTTGCAGAGAGCAGTAAGATTAAAAGCTATCTCCAGAGTGATTTCAAAAAAACAATTTAGAAATAACTGTATTACATCAGCATTAAGAATGCTGTCAAAATGGAGAGTTATGAGCTTTCATTTGCCTTCATATTCACTGTACAGTTACTAAAAGACAGTAACAAAACAAACACCCTCAGATAATAAAAACCTTTATCTATTTTAAAAACAGTGGGAATTATTTTTTCCCCCATCACATCAAAATTCTTTCCTGTTTCTTTTGTTTGCATGACCCTAACTCTGTCCTATAACCCCTTCAAAGACAGCTGTCAAGTGACAGGCTTGAGGTTTTACAAACAATAGGTCTGAAAAGAGGGTCAAATGGATATTGCCAGCTCACTTCATTCTAACAGCACTCACAAGGCACAGAACAGAGCCCCAAGTGTATTGCTTTTATCCAAATGTATCTGTCTCTAAGCCTAAATAAAAAGCAGTAGTGTGTAACTACTAGAAATAAAGGGAACCACAAATTCTCTTTTCTCTAAAAAACCACTTAAAATAACACCAAATGAAGAGCCTAAGCTTAACTTTCTATAACTCATAATCCATAACTTGTAAGACGAAGGGGGGGGTGTGCAGTAACCAGCCTAATACTCTCCAGAACTGTCCAGAAGTTATAGCTTGTCTAACATTAAGAAGCTCAGATACAACAGCTTTCATCAGTGAAGACCAAGTCTCCTACATATCTAGTACCTCGGATTTTGACAGTAACTGTAGTGCCATACATACATCCGGGAAGGAATATATCACTGAGCTAAACTGACAAATGTGCTATCACATCCAAGAACACTGTCCTGACTCAATTTATAGAAGTATTAAGATCTATCTGAAGTTCACCTAAAAAATTTTAAAATCCTATGTTTATCTGGCTATCGTATCATGATTTTTCCACTGCCCTGGGATTGTGCCTATTAGGTGAAGCAAACACACTTTCAGTTACTGTTCGGGACACCACACTGATATGTCATTGTACCTGCTGACAGGTACAGTGTTAGGTCTGAATTTTACCTTCAAGTAGTTTATAAAAGAGAATTTAGGTGCAATTATGTTATTGGCTTCAAATAAGCATCAACAAGATTAAATTTCAATCTTCATAGCTTCATTTTGAATTAAATTCTTTTCGAGAATTACCTGAATAGATAGTAAGTACATAAATGCAACACACATATTCCAAGATGTGTGTTTGAAAGACACCATAATCCCATGTGCATGAATGAACCACCACAGGGTAACAAAGAGGTCTCAGATCAGCATCTTGAATATACACAGTAACTCAGAGCTCTGTCCCTTTTCAGACTACTGGCACTGTCTCCAAGAGGTCAGAATGAGAGAACAGTCACAAGGACAGCTTCCAGACAGCCATTTAGGCACACTGATTTATTGTCCAGTTGTAGGTGTGCACTGAAGTCCTATGAAAAGAAATATCAGACATGTTTTTGTTGAGTTACCAAGTTGTTGGTAACTTCAATTAAGAAAACCACCCCAGCTTACCCTTTCTATCTCCTGAAGGTACAGGAGAGCAATATCTCCAGCCTTCTCGTAGCATGTAACAATTTCTTGTTCACGGTCCACGTGGAGATTGCTAGCTGAGGAAGAAATTGGCAACTTCTCAAGACAAAGACCTGGGAAGCAAAAAAAAAAATTCAAATGAAGCATTAAAAGCTAATGTCATATAATATTATACATAGTCCAAGTTAAGCCTCTTTAGCCAGGAGAAGAAACAAAGGAAATGAAGGTCCTCTAAGAGAGACACTCACAAGTATATAAATAACATTTAATAACAATTAATAGTTATAAATCAAGAAGCAGCAAATTTTTAAAGTAATTTTTACTTAAAAGACATTATGACAATTGACCACAAAACTACCCAGTGTCTTTCTATTCCAGTTTTACAACACTGGATATATGTCTTCATTTTTCCAGAATGATCACGGAAACCAACGCACAGTGAATAAAGGCACTCAAGATAATATTAACTTAGTTACTGTGCAAGGCAAAAACATCTATAAAAACAAATACATTTTAAGAAACCAAGGTGTTAGGAAGTATAATTTTTGTACTTAAATTTAGAAGCGGTAGCTCACTCTCACCAAGGCCATGTATGTCTTTCCTGCTCAGGCCTTATCCAACAAACACATTATGTGGTGCTTTGAAGGAAAAAAATAATCTTTGCTTGTCTTAAATAAAAACACTACAACTCTTACTAATTAATCATATATCCTACACAAGTCACTTCTTTTAAAGTTATTTTCAAGAAAATTAAAGAGCTGGAAAGGACCTCAAGAATATTAATCCATGTGTCTGACTGAAGAATCAGCCAACCCCTGACACTTGCCTAACCTGTTCTTAAAACCTTCTGACAGTAGGGACGCTTTGATGTTCATATGTAAATTAGTATAGAGCTCAACTATTCCCACAATTAGTATTTTTTCCTAATGTCTAGATCTCCCTCTCTAGACTATTATTTTGATTCATCCTCAAAGAGAGATTATTCTGTTTTTTACAAAACATTTTTTTTAATATTCATCTAGAGAGAGCGAGCCATGCTTGTAACAAAGAATGTCAATTCTCACTCACTTCTTTTTTCTTGCTTCCTTGACAGCTAATCATTTTTATCTCCTCTTGACACTCTCCAACCGGTTACCTCTATCTTGACTCACTGTGTCAAACTGGATACACAGCTCCACTCGAGACCTCAGTAGCACAGAGCAGGGAAGATTAAAGATTTCTGGGTTTTCATATAGGATACTTAAAAAAAAAACTTTAGTGTTTTCCCTTACATATAAGTAAAAATTCTCTTCTGTTTGTGATCTGCAACAGATCATCAGCTCATATTCTGCAGGGCAGCTACCTCATTTTATATTTATTTGAATAATGAATTGCATTTGAACTAGCACTTTCCACATGTTAAGAGATGTATTTCGGGTCATTCGTTTAGCTTGTCAGCAGTAAATGATGATCATAAAGTGCCTTCAACTGCTCCCACATTAATATAATCCACAATTTAAATGACTGTATTCTCAATTCATCGGTGAGAGTTTTGAGAATCCATTGCTGGAGAAACTAAAAACAGCAACAAAACACATGGTTATGTATTGGGCAGATGTTTGTAGAATGCCACGCAGCACAAATACAATTTGGAGAATAGTTTATCACAGAGTTTCTGTCAATCAATACAAGGTGGGGACAGTATGTTTCACTGCAATTACAAAAGAAAAACCTAATTTCAGAAGATAGGTAATTTGGAGGTTTTTTCATTGATAAACTCAAAACTATGCAATATCTGTTGCCTCCAGATTATTTTAGAACATCTATTAAGCTTTAATACTAGTCTGTAAAAGTCTATCTCATTTGTATAAAAAAAGATTTCTGGTTTGTATCAGAGTTTGTTGGTCACCTTAACTCTCCAATTCACCCTTTTACCAGTACAAACAACATATAACCTACAGCTCTATTTGCTAACTATACATCCAGTTAAGACAAAATTCTGACTCCAGCACTAACCCCTCTGCTAGAGAAAAAATAACAGCCAGCATACTTTTCAAAAACCTACATATCCCTAAAGCATGGCAAATACACAAGTAGTTTGTCTCTTAAAAACCTGCAAAATCTGAGTTTTACAACCGACACTGGATTTTTCTCACGTCATAGTTTTCGCCTAACATACTTCTAAAAATTTAATATATTTGCAAATAGTCTGGAGTAGTTAACACTAATTTTTTTTTAATTTTTCAATCAAATCACAAATATCTGAGAGGTTATTTTACTAACAGTAAGTCAGAGCTCCCAAAACAGCAAGATTACACTACAGAAAAAAAGTCAGTTATTCTGCTACTACAGTAGTCTTGAACAGACCCACTGATAAGAAGATTTAAATGTAAGGTTAATACTGGACAGAAAGTTTGCAGTGTCCTACAAAAACACCTTCAATCTCAGAGCTGACCACAGAATACAGTAAATGAGTTGCAGTAAAATGTCAAATGACTGAAAGCACCAGACAGTTGGTGCAGATCACTCCTCCCCACTCCTTCTTTCCCATGACACTAAGAGCCAATGCCCCAGAGGTATCATCCCCTACATGAATCATATAACTCAACTGACTCTTTGTTGATTTGATTCAGATTTATTCTATCTATTTTTATACTTTATGGCCACAGCTATAATCTTTTAAATCTGAAAAACTCACTATAAGGACATTCTCTCATTTTAGCTGAGAATTTTCTTTAAGATATGAAAATACCTCAATGTTCTGCCAGAAATTTTAAGTAATGCAGTAGGGAAGTACTAAATTCTAAATGTTCTTTGATGAAGTACAGAATACGATTTCTTAGAGAAACTCTATAATTACTATTCACTATATTTTTCTGGTATGTTTATTACAAACCAGGAAAGTATGTATATTTTAAGCATGCAATTATTTGAAGTGGGAATTTTATTTGGTGAACTATCCTGAAACGACCACTTAACAGAATGATTTGCACACTGTATTTCTTTTGATGACACGAGGAATAACTGCAATTCAGTACTGTATTAAACTTGAAAACGTATTAACTAGATGAAAAATCCTGTAATAGGCTAAAATTTGAGTCACTCCAGACTGCTCATTTAATTTTTTTCCTAAATACAGATGAAATTTTACAAATAATGTATAAAGTACAGAAAAGTACTATTTAATTTTAAACAGATATACACAGCAACACAGGAATGACAACCATATAATAATGCCCACTTCTTCATAAGAATACTGAGAGATGATGAAAGTTAATTAAAATAGGAATCATTACATTAGGCTCCCCCCAAAACAGAAAAAGCACATGGTAATATAATAGAACTGAGAAACACACTAACTTAAAAAACCCCATATATTGCCCTAAATTACTTGCTGTTACTTGCTGAAGACTTCTCATAGAATCAGACAGGTCAGTTCTCACCTTTGTGTTTCTTCCCCCACCTGCTAGGCAGGAATCTCTGCTACTCTCCCCCTAAAAGGACAAACATTTCTTTGACTGTTTACAAACTGCTTTGAGATATTCAGAAAACTGGTATTGCTACAAAATATTATTGAATTTGTTGTAAAGGTCATAGCTACTGATTTATTTAATTTTTATTATTATTTTGTTTTATTCTGCATTCAAGAATATAATGACAATTGGTATCACAAGATGGCTTGGATATTCATGACAAATTTAAGCTCTTTCAGTTAAAATCACCTTCAAATAAAAGCTTCCAACAAACTGGGTCAGTTTTAATTTGGGAGGACACTTATACATATCTAGTCCTGATATCAAAGAAAGATGACTCCTGAGTGAAAAGAAAGTGAGAAGCAGTGAAATGAATACGTGTCCATACTAGTTAAGCTTACATGTTTTGCAAGGTAACTCTAAAATTGCTTGTCAAAAGAGCAGAAGAGCAACAAAGAGCATTTGGACAACAAAAGAATATTCCTGATATTTAAATTATATGATAACTTCTGAAGACTTTCTTCAAATTTTCAAAAACTTTATAAATTACCAATATTTTGTAAAATATTGAGAAAGCAAACACCAGACATTGCTTATTCCAAGTGGCATTCTTGTGTCTACAGTCTCAAATCAGTGGCCAAGGTTATGCCAAGTAAACTATTTCAGTTTTCACAAATACAAGATCAGGCTGGCCCTACCACCACATATGCACAAACTGACCACTACCCAAAAAAACCAGGACGCCTCAGTAACAACAGGTTACTGCTGTTAACTAACTGTACTTAAGAAGTCCTAAACAAGTAGCTAATCAACCATTTTTAAGTTAAAAACCAACAAAAGAAACAGAAAGCCAGTCTTCTGTAGAAAGTTCTGTAGGAAAACCAATTAACACTCCCATTTCACCATACAGAGTAAATCAAAAATTACTCTAAGATCAAAAGGGAATCCACAGCACAGTTCAGATGTTTATCAAGTATCCTTACCACACAGACCATTACTGACATCATTTAAAAAACCACAACAAACCCACAAGGCTAAGGCCTATCACATTTATAGCATTGTGTATCTGAGGATTATCCATGATGCCAGGCAGTACCTTGCCTGTATAAATTTTAAGAGACCACAAGTACTAATGGACTCTGTGGTTTATCTCCTGTTTCCAGTAGGCACGCCCAAGGACAGATGAAAAATAGTGAACTATTGTTTTATACTTAAGTCCATAAACGTGTTTTTTCAAGAGAGAGGGTTGCATCAATAGATACAAATTTCTGGGTTTGCTTCCCCTTTTCCTTACCCAGACATGCAAAATCCCAGTGTATTGGAGTACACAGCACTTAGAATTCCCCATATGATATGCAAAGCAACACTCTTAAGTGTTCCAAATGCTGTAATACAAAAGCCCTTTCATCTCCTTTTAAAGAAACTTCATGTTTAGCCTATTTATTTAGAGCAAACAATTATACAGACTATAGCAAGTACTTATTAGTAGTTTTAAAAGAGAAACTGGAACAATCTGAGTTATTGCTGTCAAGGAACTCCCACAGTTTATTTCTGAACTTAGAACAAACACCGCTAATTTCACTGCAGGGAAGGACTTATTTCTAGAAGTCTTCAATCAAAGATTGTGACTTGCTTGCAGAGAATTTTTTAAGAAAGCAAAG